GAGAGAGAGATTGAAGGGCGTTACATTTGCGAGTAGTTTACATCTTCCTCGAGGGCGAGGCGGGTAATTGCGACACTTGACGTCTTCGATGTCGCGATTCCAGCCAGGTGGGGTGGGGTGGGTGGGCAAGGGGCGCCTCCACCTCGGTGTTTGCGAATTTACGCGGATGTTTGCCGACGTATATCCCACCCGAGTGCACCCCGGGAGGTGGGGCGTTGGACGTTTCCGGGGTTAATTTCACCCGGAACCCTCGGGATCCTTAGGGTGGAGGACCTCGCGATAATTCGCGGGTTCGATGCGTTTTCAACCCCCTCGAGCTCGGGGACGGGGCGGCGCAATGTTGCATCGCTGCATCGCCGGATGAATGATGATTTAACTCTTGAGAAGGGTGGAGTCATTAGGGAGGGTTTTTCGATTTTTCTCTCTTTTTTCGGTTTTTTAGTCGATGCGTTGGAGGGGTTGTTAGGGGGGATGATTGGCGGACGTTGTTAGCGGATGTGGCGAGATTTTGGGAGGTTAAAGAGAGGTTTTTTGGGATGATTTGGAATGATTTGGATGATTTGGAATTTTTCTCCCTTATTGTCGGTTTTTTAGTTGTTGCTTTGGGAGGGTTGTTGGGGGGATGATCGGTGGACGTTGTTAGTGGATGTGGCGAGATTTTGGGAGGGATTTTCCATATGTTATAAATTTATTACACATGTGTACTACATTTAAAGTGATACGAAAGTGGCGCGAAAGAGATCTCGTTCATGAAACATTAGACGGAATTGAGTGTACCGAGTCGTTTTCACCCTATACAATGTGAATATAGGAGCTACAAGAAAAGTCTTGACACCCATGAAATTTCAATATTTTTTAAAATTTGTCTAGGTATTTTCAAAATTTGTTGCAAAAAATGAATGAATTGAATGTAAAGACATTTATAATATATGTTTTATTTGAAAACACGTTATAAAATTAGTACACCTTGACTGAATGAAACTTCCAACCGAAAGGTTATGAAATTATAATATTTCTTTTAACCGTGTATTGTATGGGCAAGGTCGATGGGGAGATGAGAAACGTGGAAATTTTTTATTCAGGCGAGGTTGAAAGGAGTTTTTGGAAGGCTTGGCAAAATGAATGAAATGAATGAAAAGACATTTATAATATATATTATGTTTCATTTGAAAACACGTTATGAAATTAGTTGTGATAGTGAGTAGTAGAAAGAAAGAACAGGCGAGGTTGAAAGGAGGTTTTGGGAGGCTTGGCAAAGAGGGGAGGCTCGAAATATCGGATTGATCGATCTTCCCTATTGCAGATACACCGGGAGGCGTCGAAAAGCCCGAAGATTCTGCCGTCGCAGCAGCTGGGCGCTGCGGTCGCTCCATGGCCGGGCGCCACCGGCCTCCTGGCCTCCGTCACGGCTGACGACATGGCGCACAAGGGTGAGTGTCTCGAATTTTTTTTAACACCTTCCCTGGACCCAAGGGTGCCCAGGTCTCCGCTCGGAGGTGGTCCAGAATGTATCCCAAGGGAAAAAAATGAAAAGGCCTGGAAATGAGCCGCTCATTATATGTAAAGGAATTTCGGAACTTCCAGTTGCCCCGTTGCGCTCCGCGGCGGCCATGTTGGATCCTCTTTTATTTCCTCCCGCCGATTGGCGAGGCCCTCGACGAGGGCACCGGGGTCTTTCGACGACCAACGACTCGGGGGAATAACTGGACGAAGGGGCGGAAAAACGGGGCCGCGGGGTGGACGCCGTGAATGGGAGCCGCGGAGGCGGGGCGGCTGAAAATCCGCGAGTTATCTGACCGAGTGCGGCCCAGTGGGGTGTGTAGCGTTAAGTTGGCATTAGCTCTCGTTGAATCGTCCCCGATGTGTATTATATACGCTCCGTACGTACGAGTGTACGGCTATACGTAGCCGTACGTATGTACCGACGCCGCGGCTCTGATCGATCGTCCGCGGATCGCGTCCTTTCCGCGCGGCCGCGCGCGTTCTCCAAAATGGCGGATGTTATTCTCCCCTCAGGGATCTTCTATTCTCATGCGATGCACCATCGGATACCTTCTAAATTCATCCCACAACATCGAAACGCGGGAGTTACGGCCAGAGGCAGATCTCGCGTTCTCCAAGATGGCGGAGACGCCACCCCCCTCAAGAGTTCTCTCCTCCCTTCGCAATTTTTAAATACCTTACTTTGGGGTACTCAACAAATGCGCAGGCGTAAAGGGTCAACAATTTCTCCGAGGTCTTCCCGGCAAACCGGAAGCCCCCGGGGGCGTTCTCCAGAATATACAACGACTGCGTTCTCCAAGATGGCGGCGCGGCGTTCTCGCGTCCGGACCTCCGAGGATTCGACTCGGTCGACTTCTCTGACGCGCTGGGAAAGGCACGGCGGTATGTGGCGTTAAGGTCGATTATGTCGTCCTCCGTCTCTCTCCTTCGGCCTCCTGTCCGCCGGAAGTCGCCGATCGGATCGCGCATACCCGGCCGAGGTCGCTCCTTTCACGAGGCCTTTCTCTCTCTCTTGGAACCTCCCGCTTGAACGTCTCGTAAACTCTTTATCTCTGATTCCCCGTCATCCCCTATCGTCATTCGCGCCATATCGCGCGAAAATCGACTTTCCCCTCCCTCCGCCTCGCCCCTCTCCCCCTCATCCTAAATACCCAGTTTAGAGAGATTCGGCCGTGGAGCCAAAGCGCGAGAATCTTGGCTACAGTCAAGGGGCTCGATCACCGGGAAGGGGGGGGGGGGGTGTGNCTCCGGTGACCCCGATCCTTCGAGGAGGCGTTTTCGTTCCTGCTCGAACTGTTGTCGACCCTCGGACGTTCATTCGTACGAAATGCATTATCGCGTTATCAGGCGTTCCGGAAAGTTAGCCCGTGGTTGCCTTCAAGGGGAAGCCGCCCCTTCGGGGGGGGGGGGGCGCAGGGGAGTCGCGATTTGTTTTCGAATTCCTCCTCTCCTCTCCTTTCCTTTCCTTTTCCCCCGCTCATCACCCCGCGGGAAGAAATTCCTCGAACAAAGAGAGAGAGAGACGCGGAGGTTACGGGGGTGGATTCGCCGCAGGTATCGCTCTAGGGGGAGGACGGGGGAGGGGGGGGCAGCGGCCGCCGGAATCGGACCGGGGGGATGTATGCGCGCGTCTTGCACGGGGGTGCATTCGACTGCGAAATTTCCTCTTCAAACGCCGGCCCGGGGGCGGAACGCCGAGTTTCGAGGTTAAGGCGACGCTCGGGGGCCGCCGCCCCCCGCTTTCCCCTCCCCCACTCCCCCCATGCAGGGGTGGGCGCGCCCCCGCCAGGCCACGGGGTCCGACATGCCGCGTGTACGTATCCGCGAGGAGCACGTACGGAATTGCGCGGTGAGGTCTTCCCCCCTTGTCTCGCCCCCTCCCCCTCCCCCAATCGCCCAGAATTTTGTCCATTTCATGGAATTTGAGGTTTTCCATTCTTTTTTTTTTTTTCCTTTTTTCGCGGAAGGGAGAAATAGAGACGAAAATATATCGGAATTCCAGAAGAAATGTGAAGATTGGGGGGAGGAGGGGGGGGGGAGAAGAAGAGAGAAAAGCAGAAATTCCTAAGAAACGCGGGAATTTCCGAGGAGGAGGAGGGAAAAGATGGGACCGAAGTGCGCATAGGAATTCCCGAGAATTGCGGAGATCAATCCGGGAACGGGAAAGCAGGGCGGGGGGAGGGGGGGGGGGTCAAGATGTATAAGCGCGCAGAGATTCCCGAGAAAGAAGAAAAAGTGGAGATCCTCGCAAAGAGGTAGATACGGGGGATGACGGGGTCCTAGATAGCCAGGAATTCTCCTAAGTATAATTTCGTGATAAACGATCTTCAGGGGGATGCTGCTCAACCTCCACCGCGCGCGCGGGTATGGGGGCTTTTCCGGCACGACCCACGGGGGTCCCGGGACCCCCAACACATGGGGCAGGGGGAGGGATAAACACCCCCGTGGCACGGGTCCAGGAAGCATCGCGAGATGAGGCGTTAATCTCTCCCAACCCCCTCGCGGGTTACGCCGGAAGTCGCGGGTTTCGCTCGCGTCGTTAGGGGTTGTAGTTTCCAAAGGGAGGGGGGGGGGTAAAGGCCCCCCCCCCCTTGAATATCGCGCCAGGTCTCGAAGCGTCGCATCCGGCCCCCGAAAATTATCACTTCCTGGCCCGCCTCGCGATTCTTTACCTCCTCCGTATCCTCTTTGACAAACGGACTTATTCCTGGGGAACGGCGGGGAGACAGGGGGGGGGAAACGGCGTCATCCGAGCTAAGCAAATATTTTGACAAATCTTCACGGAGGGGCGGTCCCCCTCTGGGGGTAGGGAAGCAACTGTCGACCTAATTTCACCCCCCACCCCCCACCCCCTTTCCCCGAGGACGTTTCCGGAGATTACATCGGTAAGACTCATTGTCGGGTCTCGGGGGTCTCTATCGGTACACGAACCTCAATGCAGTCCCCCTTCCCCCGACCCCCGCTCCCGCGTTTCCCTCTTTTCCTGTTTTTTTTTTTTTTTTCTACGTGTCCACTGGCGCGGTCGCCTTTATTCCCTTTTGTTCTCCCATTCCCGGGGTCCCTACCGGGGAAATGCGGCGAAATCCGGAAAATAATCCGGAAGCCGGGGAGCGGGACGTATGCTGCCTTCCCCCCCCCCCAGTCCCCTTTCCCGCGGGAAGTAATCCCTCGGGAGAGAGAGAGAGAGAGGGCGCACTTCGCGTCCCGAGGCTCCTGTTAAACGTCCCCTCGGGACTTAACGACGCCTTCGAAACGGCCGCGGAGAGTTTTCCGCGTGCGATTTTTTGTTTTTTTTCCCCTCGTTTGGTTTCTTCTCTGTCTCTCTCTCCTTCTCGTCTCAGCTTGTTTTCCCTTCCCTCTCCTTCGAGCCGCTCTTTCTTTTCCCTCTCTTTTTTGAAAACTCTCCCTCTCTCTCTTTTTTTCTTTCTCCTTCTCTTTCGCGTTCTCTCTCTCACTCTCTACGTCGCAGCGTATTCAAAAGGGTCCTCGAAAGGTCCTCCAACTCCGAGGGGACCTTCTCCTTCTTCCCGCACAATAATAACGATTCCGCCCGCGCACCTGCCCTGGAGGACCCGGGTTAACCTGGGGGGTAGGGGTGCGGGGACGGGGTNCTCGAGTTAGAGGGAAACGAGGGATGAGAGATTCGCCGCTCTTCGGTTAATCGTCCAAAAAAGGGGGGGGCAGGGGGGTTGAGGGGAGGATTTCGAGAGAGAATCGCGCGATTCCTCCGGTACCCCTCGTTCGATTCCTCGTGATTAGTCTTCCCCCCTTGGATTACACGTGCGAACACATGTCGTCCCCCTTGTATGCCCCCCCCCCCCCTCCGGAGGGGGAGGCTCGCCCCGTGGCAGGGGCGAACCCTAAAGTCACGGGAAAAGTGTCCGACGGGATAATCGAGAGGCGATCGACTTCCCCCTGGTCAACGGACGTCCCCCCACATCTCCCCCCCCCTTTGGGCCCCCTTGAAATCGGAAATGCGACTCGAAATAATGGTTTTGCTTGAGACCGAGGAAACGCGCGGTTAGGCCCGAAACGTGTTCGCGCGTTTTCCTGGGCTGGGGCACCTGGGTCAAGGGGGGCAGGGGGGGTGTTCAACCTGATCTCTGTCCTGGCCCCTTTGCGAGTCTTCTCGTCGATTAGGGAGGACCTTTGTCGCGGGTTGCGACGTCCCCGGGAGTTCTCCCCGAGGGATCTTGTAATTGCATTCTCGTTGTTTACCCTTTAAGGTCAAGTGAAACCCCCTTCATATCAGTCGATTAGAATACAATACTTTTTTTTTTAAGGGTATTAGACCACACTGTCCGAAATTTTGACACATCAGTCGTGATCATCTAAGGATTGTCCTGACACATTCAAAATTTGGATTTTTGGAAACAATTTTTAACTTCGCCCAGACCAGAACCAAAACGGCGTCGAGCTCTCATATTTCGATCGATATACAATTATCGAAGGCTCTGATGTGAGAATCGAAAGGGTCAGGACAATTTTACGACAATTTAGAACACTCTGATAGTCGATAAACTCGCATTTGAACGGGATAAGGGCAGAAAAAGGGTTTTATGCGCTTCTATGCTAAAACGATGGTAATATGAGGTTTCCATGTGAAAATTTAATTGCCCTGGAAATCACAGATGGCGCAGGGGGTCCCTCTGCAGTCAATTAGGGCTTCAGAAACCATGAATCCAGAGGATTTCTGGAGTTTTATTTCGACTTCTTTATAATTATTACACGAAAACGATAGGTGGAGTATGCCATTTAGTCCAATGCCCAATATAATTCGACCCAGCTGTCGATATAAAAACGAACGTCGGCAACGTAGGCATTTAGAAAAATCTTCTTTATCGACGTCGATCAAGTTCCTCGACGTGTTTCACTTCACCTTAACCTCTTCACCTACAATGTCGTGTGAGAGACGTGGTATATCAAT